AGAGCGGAAAGAAACAAAAAGGAAGAAAGAGAAGAGGAGAAATAATGTTGTTTATTCGACCTAGATAAAGCAGGTTGAGGGTTATATACAACAGCTATCAGATGGACACTGTTGTGATAATCCCTAACCTGAACTTGTGATACCCTCGCAACAAGAGTTTATTCTCAGGTGGTTACAGTCTCAGTAAGTGAATGTGCGCTTGATAGGCTTGCTGCTACTTGCCCCACTCACCCAGCCCTTCACCAAAACACACTTTTTACTCACATATACACATACACATACGCATACACATACACATACACATACACACACGGCCTGGTGAGCAGATGAAATGTGACAGATTTCATCTTGCAGGTGCTGAAGCAGGGTCTGTGCATCTTAAAGAACCACATTGGACAGATATTCATCTCTCTCTCTCCTCCTACTCTTAACACTGGTTCCTATCTGTGTCCCTCGACTCTTCCTCTCAGATGGGCCTGTACTTCTGTTTTGATGCTACGCAATTCAACACTGAATGACATATAACTAGATTCACTACCATGTCACTCTGATTTCCACACTTATTAACAAGCCAAACATGACACAAGCCCCTCTGTGGCCTCAGCACTCCATATGCTACTCACTGATTTTGTTGCTTAGCTCTGACTCAAGTTTAGGTAATGAAGCTCAAAAGCTTATTGTCCGACATATTTTCTAGCTGAAGGTGGTATCTTTGATGTTAAGGCCTGCCATAAATAATAAAATGTTTTGGCAAAATTTTCTTGAGTAACGTTCAACAATCACAAACTGTTAGATTCTCTGTTACGTTACCTGTCCCCTGCCTGCCAGAGAAGGGCAGTGAATATAATGAAAAATTGGTGAATTTAACATTTGATTTTTTTTTTTTTCTTTTGCCTAATGTAAGTCAATGCTATGTGACTGAATCATGGACTAACCAATGGAGTATCGAGGTCATCAATGGGTATAAGCTGGCACAGCTTCAGAACCTGACTCCTTGGTATTATTCTGAATGGATGATGGAACAGTTGAAATTGTGAAATGTGACTTTAAGACATGCTGTTGCCTAGATACGAGAGGAGTAGCGTCATCAGACTGCGCTTCTGTTTTCCTTATGGTTCAGCGGCGCACCTTGATAATGAATGAGTGAATGCCTGTTAATGAGCTCCTTAATTGTTGTCGCACTTCAACTCAAGAGTATGGTTTAGGTTACGTGTGTCTTTTGTTTTGTTCATCTATGATAAGATACAGCCGTCCAACCGGGCATGGTAAGGTTGAAGTGTCGTTAATAAAGTTATTATATTATATAAGTTAGTAAACGACGAGCATCGTGGAAGTTACAGCGCTTGTGTGGACGTGAGTTTTCTATCTTTTTCTCTTTCCTCCACGCTCGCCGAACTGCTTCAACCAAAATACACAACCAAACTGTTGCAATGTGTTGACCTTAAGTAACACAACACTGTAGCTGCCTAGATAACTAGCAAATTAGCCTACTGGTTGTTAACATGTCAACATTGGACTCATACAGTCTATGATTGGACTGCTGCCTAGCTTGATATCACAATGCTAATGATTACAGGCAGCGATTTCACCCTGTCCTGTCAACGGGATATGTTCATAAATAGAGATAGCTTTTGTCACTTCACTGTTGTGAAATGGGCAAGCTTGTGCATCCATGTCGAGCTTGGCAGGGTAATAAAATAGCCTACCTAGTCTTGTTAAAATCAATTCTTTATATCCGGTTTGATGTGTTTATTTAGCAGAAGGACAATTTTATGTTAAGGAAGTCACACATTACTCCAGTGGCATGTGTTACTGCTGATCATGGTACAGACTCTAGCAGACTGTTTTTAATTGCCTTTCCTATCACTTCAGTGTGTGAGTAACTTGCAATGGTATCCATCTGATTACATTATACAGGTGTGACTTACTTGAAATAATAACAGGCTTGTCTAGTGCTGGAGAGAAATAACCAAGCTCTTATAGTGCACAATTTGTTAGTTTGAGGAAACTGTTTGAACCGCAAGAAAACAAAGGACAAAAAGTGGTGAGTGATGAGTAATAACTTGACATCACTGCATAATATAATACATTGTCTTTGTGGACTCAGTGTAACTATGTGTCCCATTCCATATTCCTCCTTAAAAATGATGCCCCATGATAAAACACAGGGGGCAATGCAGATGTTGGCTTGAAACAAGGTTGTCATGTCATTGTCTGGAAGTTATCTGGAAACACAACAGATATTCACTGCAGGGAAATCTTAGCAGCCATTATATAATATACCAATAAATTAAAATCTCTATAGCCCACTTCTCTCCCTCCTTCCATCTCTCCCACTGTCTCCCTCTGTGGTGTCAATGCAGTTGATTGTGGAGCTTGGCTGAAACTCAGTAAAGGGAGAACTGGGAAAAGTCCCTCTAAGTGCCATGTTTTTTTCTCTCTCATTAAGCAGTTTTGTTTATCCACCATCCAAATATCTGTATCTATTCATAAACGCCTAGGGAATACTAGTCCCTTCCTGACTGTACCATTTGAAGCGTCCGTTTCTCTTCTGTGGTTTTACTTTTTAAGTCACTTTTTTCAAAGAAATGTGTGCCATTAATCAGATGTCAATGTAAGGCTGCTTGGCACATGGATTGGATTTTGATGGCTGTTCCTGACAGTGTTGGCTGTACTGCAAAAGCGTCACAACTTCTTTCATTCCAACACCGAGAAAATTTTAGCTTCTTCCCTGTCATTTAGGACACTCTGTCAGATTTTAATGCATCAGAGAGCGAGAGAGCACATGTACTCACCAAAGCCCACAAAGAAACCCTCTAAGCACCTTTCCATGACTGAGGCTTGTAAATGTAATTGCTGGTTTCACCTCTAGGCTTTTAAGAAAAGAGGACAGGAAGGAGTATAGATGGATGATTTTCAGTCTAATCACCATCCTTAAATTTCTAAAGAGATGCTGCAGAGGAAGCTAAAAAGCAGAGAAATGGACCAAATTACTCTCTCTGTGTTAGTGTGTGCTGGGTGTGTGTCTTTGTGCATTTTTTTTGTGTTTCTGTATTTTATGTTGCAGTTTTAAAATACATGTTAATCTGTACTTTTAACTTCAGCAATTTACTTTGATCTTCCTGCATCTAGATGAGTGACCTTGCTGTGTTCTACTTAAATTTAACTAAGAGATATGGGTTTTTTTGTTTAGAATTTGGTTCCTCTGTCCCTTGAGAAGTGGAATTAACACACACACAGGCACACAGACACACTCAAACACGTCCGTATGACAACAAGCACATGCTTTTTGTCTGAGAACAGTCGGTGCTAGTAATGAGACTAAGTGTGGCCAGGCGGATGGACAAATGAATGAAACAGCTACAGAATCACTGGCTGTGTTTGATTTGCCTCCACTAATTCAAAGAGACCATCTGATAAATTGAGAGGATGGGATGTACATCAGAATAGCAAGAGGTGCTTCTTTGTTGTTCCCCATTCCCAACCAAATCACACCCCAAGCCCTGTTAGAACACCCAGAGGGGAGAATGTTTCCCTTGTGTGTGTGTGTGTGTGTGTGTGTGTGTGTGTGTGTGTGTGTGTGTGTGTGAGAGAGAGAGAGAGAGAGACAGAGAGCTGGGTTGCTAGGAGGTGTGAGTTTTCAGGAGGTCCTGTTGAAAGCAAATGAAGGAACACTTGTGTCAACATTCTGACGGCGGCGATGAGCCACAAAGCCTCCAGGTCGAACATCCAAAGGGCTGCATCACCTCCCTGCAAAAAAGCAGGAGCTGCAGTCCTGCACTCTGTGTGCAGATCAGTGGGATGAAAATCGTTTTCCTTTCAGTCTTGTTGCTTGACTTTAAATGTTTGCATGGTCATTGACTTAGGTTTCTGCAGGAAGTTAGCACTCGTGTCATTATATATCATGGTCAAAAGTTGTTTGTGATATTTTTTAAGATTATTTTTGGGACATTTTGATTTATTTGATACTAAACAATGAAGAGGCATACAGGAAATGTGGGGGAGGGATAGAGAGAGGGGGGGATAACATGCAACAAAGGTCCTCAACTGGATTCATACTGGAGATATTGCTGTTATGTGGTATGCTAAGCCACTGTGACATCTCGTGTTTGTGAAGCAATTTGGATAGATGCATATGCATTCATGTTTTAACACCAAATCCTATTTTCGTGTTGTGTTTTTCTCCATGTTTGTGCTGTAGTGATTGTACTGTATGTACATGATTGTCTTTTTGAGAAGGGAGTAAGTGGTCATTCCTCAGCGGGCACTTTAATTATTTTCCATTCTGCTAATCGGAATCACATGAAAAGTGATTATCTTTCATCCAACCATCACTCTTTTATTCTTTGTTGTTGACAGCTAATCTTATCACAGCCCCATCTGTGCATAACATCATGCACTGGAGTTTATGCTGCATGCATCTAAATGTAGTTTGCAACTGTGTGTGTGTGTGTGTGTGTGTGTGTGTGTGTGTGTGTGTGTGTGTGTGTGTGTGTGTGTGTGTGTGTGTGTGTGTGTGTGTGTGTGTGTGTGTGTGTGTGTGTTTTCCTCCACAGCTCATTGGTGGCTTAGATCTTATGCCCTGAGCAGTAGTTAGTCCAGATGTTTAGTGTCTACAGGAACATACTACTTTGGAAACTTTCCCACATGCTATCTGGTGTGGTTGACTCTGCGCTGGCCTCAAACTTCAAAACAACCCAGTTCTAAAAATAGTCCGAAGCTCTAAATCATTCTGCAGACTCTGATAGTCAGCTCACAGAACTCAGCTAGGCCACATACAGTTTTACCAACATCCCAGTCACGTTGTAAGTACTGAAAACTTGGCTTTTAGGATGGCTTCACAAGGCTCTAAAATCAGATTCAGCTCTACGTCATGCTCTCTCACACCATAAACAATTGACATGACATAAGCATTCGACTTACTGCTAAGTTCCAGGAAAAAACCCTCAAGAAAGACCTGTATCTGTGCAGTAATGTTTTATTTCAACTATACATGCTGTGTTAAAAAAATCAACGAAAAATATGAAACAAAAGACCATCATTATTATTTACACATTCACAGTACAACTTTACAACATATCTACACGCTCAAATACTCTGGAGATCATATATACAGCTGGCCTTGCATCACCATGTTGCACAGTATTTAAATCAAAATTACATGACAAAATCCGGTTCATCTGCACATACACAGAGCTCAGACTGAATTATAAAGGCTTCAATTTAGATTGCAACAGAAAGACCCAGTTCATATTGCAATGTACAAGGCAGTTGAGCAGTGTATGGTGAGTGTGTGTTTGTGATGTCAGTGTGCATGTGTCGAGTAGAAAAAGAGAGCCCAAACACTGGTTAGATGACAGGCAGAAAGTCTTTACATACAATCATCACTTGTAAACAAAATGTGGCTTTGGGCTAAACAGGCAACTGACACTGGAATAAGATTGCAGATGTCACCCAAATAATGTACCCATTGCTAAGAGAAATGATCCCTCAGTCATCCCTACTGGCCAATAGAAACAATTCCTGTCACTGCAATCCTGGGGATTTACAGATTCTGCGTGACGGCCACCCATGCCAACAGACGGCTTTTCATGTGAACACTGTGTTAATACATTGGCTGTGGGCAGGATGTGCTGCAATTGAGCCGACTCCGCTCCACAGTGCAAGGTCTAACCACCCTACATCCCACTGTCAAGAAAATACATTCACTGCATGGCACATCTATGTGGTGGATTAACACCATTCTTTTCATCACCGGCAGTAAAGGAGGAAAACTGATTCATACTCCAAATAATTGTTTTTTTTAACTCTCCTTTTGTATGACCATCATCCAAGAGTGGAGCATTTGTCAATTTGTCAGTTTAGATTAGGTAGTGATTTTCCAACACATGTCCTGCTGAGTTTCAAATTGCTTTATATAAAAATTCTTTATATAGTATATGACAATAACATATAGAGGACCAATTGACATTGCCAATATTATATACTGTAGTAGTTCATTTAGGGAATAAGGCACACAATGCACAGATTCAGGTTCACTTGCCTAAAAATATTTATAATGCTTATTTATAGTATTTAAGTATATACAGGATCTTGTCATTCCCAGCATGACTCATTTGGACACATTGGTAAATGTTGTGTTGATTGTACACTGACCACTCGCAGGGAAGCTTTACAGGGAACACGGCACGACAGATGACAGAGATGTTACATCCATGTATTGTTCTAGAGTCAGTTTAATATACCCTTAATAGGATTAATGTAGGAGGAAAATTCTAGTGCTCTCCTATTAGAGGAGACAAAAGTTTAATACAGCAGAAGTGCCCTGAAATGTTGGATTCATATACATGGGCTAAACCATTGGTGTTGCTTTAGTTTCATATGGTAAATTCTTTAAATAAAAAACAGTAAAACATCATAAAGGCAAATCACTTTGTTCGAAAATTAAGATGAGATGAGAAATGTGTTTTTTTTGTTTTTTTTGTTTTTTCGTAAAATCGCTGCTACATAAAGAAAGGAGTCTCTTGAACCACCAGTATAATTCCTATGAATGGGCAGTGGAGGTTAAGAGAGGTTTCAGGAGCATTATTTCCCATGTATCAGTTTTAACAGTGTGTTTGCTTGCTGAAAACTGTACTACTTGGCCTCTTTCTGCAAAATAACACACACACACACACACACACACACACACACACACAGACACACACACACACATACGTTCACACACACACAGAAGCAGACATGCACACCCAAACGGGTCTATTCCAGTCAGGTAGAGAAAAAGAAAATGCACCAAAGACAAACACCTGTGTGTAAAACCAATAGCAGCAAATGTACTAAGTAAAATTTCCCAGTGAGTTACAGTGTACCTATCCCAGTATTCACCAGCATGACCGACTTAACCTCAGCCTAACCATATTACCAGACACACCACAGAGTGACACAAAGATATGGTTTAGGCTCACTTCACAAGGGTTCAAATGAGACTACAGAAGAAATAATTTTGTTGAAATGAAAGACAGTGACTTAGGTCTTAGACAGGTCTTAAGGTGCATCCTCTGACATGTGGCAACACTCTTGATTACCAAGTGTTAAGGCCTAAATATCTGTGCTGCCTTTACACAAGCCTGCTTTCCAGTCAACCAACACTCACACATTTGTACTCTTTCTCTGTTCTCTTGCTGCCTGATTCAGCTGTTTGTCGTCATATTTATCTTAAGCAACACGCACGCTGTGATTAGGCCTACTGATTTTCCTCTCCTCTGCCCCCAGCCATCTTACTGACAAAGGCATGGCCTACCTCTTCTCTCTGTTCAGTTCACATTAGTGGGAAGACAGTGCTCAAGGGCAGTGACAAATGAGACCCATTCTTCAAGTATTCCACTGTTTTTTGACCTGGTACCACATGCACAGACACCATAGCAGCCCCTGCTGGTGTCCTGAAACTTTGTACCTAAAATGGGAACGGGCAACACCCAAGCCCAGATACAATGGGGAGCAGCAGATTCACCACTGCCCACTGTTCATATCTTGTGGCTACCGTGACAAGGGAGGGAGACGAGTATCTTTGGCCACATGTGTGATTTTCCCTTTTTAGTGTGAGTGAATGTGCATATCATTTAAAGGAGAAACACACCTCAAGTCGATACACAAACACACACTAGGCCCTACCCCATCCATAGCCCGCCCCGAGCCCTCAGGGCTCAAAGCTCTACAGTCAAGGCCAAGAGCTCACTAAGAAGCGTCCATGCTCTTTTAGTAACTGTACTTGTTGACCACTCGCATCTGTGGAGTCTGTGGTGAAAACCCATTGGGTTTGGGGGGCACATCTGGCTTTAGCGATGGGGTCCGTTTAAGCCCTGTGCGAGGGAGTGAGCCATGCCCACTGTAGCTGCTCTGTCGGGATACAGAGGATGGGTGGGGTGAGTGCATTCCTGCCCCCATCACTCCACTATGGGAGTCAAGTCTGGAGGGGGGTGTTGGGGGCATGTAACCACCTCTGTTCATACTGTGCTGGCGAGACACAGACACCCCCATGGTTACCCCATTTGGCGAGGTGGATAAGGACTGCCTGTGAGAGGCACTCCGGTGGAGTTGGTACCCCCCTCTTTGCCTCTCCAGGGTGCCCCCCATGCTCAGGCTGCCCGTTGGTGTGGTGGGAGTGGTGGGCATGGGCACATCGACCCTCTTGGTGGGGCTGTGCCTCGGCAGGGAGGAGGAGGGAGAGTACAGGGAAGCCTCTCGGCTGGGCACCTTGGGAGGTACTTCAGTCAGTTCCTCCATGGGCTCCAATGTAAGATGTTGCCTTGGGCGGGGCCCTGATCCCTCTTGAAGAATGGCCTTAGGGTTGGCCACAGAGTCATTGAGGTGTTTTAAAAGGTCATTTAGAGTATTTCTGGCATCCACAGACCTCTTCTGGTCTTTCCTACTACCCCTGGAATCTGGGTTCTTCTGCTTCTTTTCAGATGAATGTGGCAGTGTATCCTCTCCATTGTCAAGATTAGGGTGGTCGTGTGTAGCATTGGGTAGGACGACTGCACTAGGGATGTGGGAGTGTCCCAGGGCAAGGTGAGGGTGGTGGGAGTTGGCAGGAGCAGGAGAGGAAGGAAGGAACTGAGGACTCATGGCCGTCGCTGATGAGTTGGAGTCCTTACGGGGTCCACTGACCTTGCCATGAGCCCTCTCCCACTGGTTCTTGATGGGCTGGAGGCCTTTCTGCTGAAGCACAGGGGTGGACTCAGGTGTAGGTAGAGCAGCCAGCTCAGGGGGCTGACAGCCTTCTCGCAGGATCATGGTCTTGGTGTCACCATTGGGTGTATTTAGGTCTTTGCCATTGCTCAGCAGATTGGTGTACAGCTTAGGAGAATCAATGCTGGTTTGGAACTCCTAAATAAAATAAAAGAATAAGATCAGACACAGTTTCACAACTTGTTCAATCACTTCTATCCAGACTTTGATGAGATTTTGGTTTTATAGCTGTAGCCTACCTTCACAGGACTATCAAAGAGGCCATTGAGCTTGACAAAGCTTCCAGTGGAGTCCGAGCAGGAAGGTGCAGACTCTGCATCCTTGTGGACATGTCTCGGCTTACGAAGGAATGAGTCTCGGTAGCAGAAAACAATGAGCCCAGCCAGGAGAGCACCCATGAGAAAAGCAGCAAACACGCAGGTGATGAGGATGTTCATGTGGACCATCTGGTTGGTCTCACCTGCTTGGATATCCCACACACCTACAAAACAGTGAGGCATTGGTTAACCACCTGGTGACAAGAGTCCCAGTGCTCAGTGAAGCATCCCTCCCCATTCAACAGCAGAAATGTGCATGTTTGTGTGTGAGCACAACCATGCATGAGTTTCTGCTTTTATACCTCCCCCCATACAAGGTAGCCATAAATACTGACTCATTCCTTTTCATCTAAGCCCAGATGAAGAAAAAATATGGTGGAAGTTGTTAGGTACCCACATCCATTTCACCATCTATAAGAAGCAGTTATGTTAGTTCAGAAGGGAAGACTTAAAAGTGGTGCCTTAATCCACGTTCCACTAGAGGCTTTTTGTCATGCGTTTGACTTAAAAGGGTTAGGAGTGAACTCTTATCTGAGACATAGAGCCAAATCAGTCTTTTCGCACAAGAGATCAACCAGCAGGAAGTTGGCCAGAGTAAAGAGAAGCACTGTTTGCCTTCCAGGTGTTGAGATAGCTGCTGCTCTACTGAAAGTTTGTTAGTAATCACAGACATTGAAAGAGTTAGTCATCCACCGTGCGGCCACAATAGTGATGCGGCAGAGCAGGCCCAGTCAATGATCTACCAGCCAGTGTAAAGTGTTACTAAATCTAGAGTTAAAAAAAAATCTATACTGGCAGAGATGGAAGTTAAATTCAAACAAAAGATTTGAAACAAGAGTGAGTGTGAGTTTTGATGATTAGAAAAATAAATAATTTAAAATAAAGAAAGAAAAGAGGGAAATTATAACTAAAACAAAAGAAAACAATGGTAAAATGAAAATAGATATACCAACATAACTTCTGTATGAAAATGTCTATTTGAAAAAGAATAAGAAAGAGGCTAAATTAAAATCTGCCATGTTATCTAATAAAAAAACCCAAAATAGCTGCCATTGTGTGCATGTGTGTCTTTGCCTATGCAAGCCTATGTGTGGAGTCACATTTGTGTGGCTTAGTCAGAGTTGTGGGCAGCTATCAGATCAGGCTCATTGCAGCATGCTGGCTGCCTCCCTGTGGGCCTTACCCTCTTGGCCCCCTGGGATAGAGTCTAAAGAATGGGAGGTGGCTGGGTCATCCTGCAGCACAAAGCCTGAGCCGTAGAGCTCTGGACCAGGCCCAGAGCTGGGGCTCTGAGTGGGTATGAGTAGTGGGGGGTGTATGGGCCCACTGGGCTGGACAGTGACTGGCGCTGATGAAAACTCCATGTCTGTGATGACAAACAAATTGTTAACAAACTGTGCAGACGTGGGTAAAGCATACTGTTATCATCCCAGTTAGTAGGCATCAGCGATATGTAATTTTTTAGGGTTAGTGTCCGAACAAATGATGAATAAACCTTTTTAACAAAATGTTCCATTTTCACATTCACAGACCAATGAAAGTACATTTTTGTTTTTTGACAGTTTGGATGGGGAAAAGAGAGGATACTGTGGGTCAAACAGGAGTTGGTACACAACAGTAAGGATGCCAAGGGGTGGTTGGGCATGCAAGAGGGGGGAGGAAGTGATGAGTGAAAAGGAGAAAGTGAATGTGCGCTCAGATAGAGCACCAGTGTCGCCTGGCGGAGCTTACTTTTGTGACGATGAAAATGAAGCAGGTGACATTAGCATTCAGGAAGTGTTTTGTAAGAAAAGATGAATGGTGGGAGTGGTGGAAAGACAGGGTTGGAGATGCTGAACTCAAGGAAAGAAACCATTTGAGTAAAAGATCAAACTAACCAGAGGTAGGGTCGCCAAATGATTTGTAATCTGGCGCTGAAGTAGTGCCCAAAAACGCTAAAAGAATTAAAAGGACAAGAAATCAGTATAACGGAATTCAGAGGTAAAAACTAAAAAATAATAAAATCCCTAAGAGACACTAAGAGTGCAGTTTACTGGGTTTAACTATAAAGATATAAAGCACTCGCTAGCAGTGTCCTTTTCTCTCTGGAGTCACTGGAGGCCCTCTGGTTCTGATCAATACTGAGGTTCAGCCTGGGTCATGTTTAGTTGGTACAAATGAAGGGGAGGAAGCTTTAAAGTAAAATCAGTAAAGGCACATTTTCTGGCCGTCAGCTATCTTAAGACCTCTAGCATTTGAACCAGCTGAGCATGACCCCTGATTGTACATGTCCATGTTTCTGCCTCACAGGCAGCATTAGTTACAGGTGGCCATGTACTGTATGTAGATGTGTGTGTTAATACTGCACATAGACTTATGTAGGGGCAAGTTACTGGAGTGGTTACTGGTGTGAGTGTGCAGGCTCATGGTGTGTGTGGAGATGAGTTTGTGTGTGTTGGTATGTATGTATGTGTGTGTGTGTGTGTATCTCTGTGTGTGTATGTATGTGTCTGAGGATAGATGGCATGGCATGGCATGGAGATGAGATCCGTACCGTGACAGTCACCCAGGTGAGCCGTGTTTCCAAGTTCAACGTCCTGCTCATATCCAGTCCTGAAAAGAGACAGAAAGAGAGACAGATAAACAAAGAGATTAATAAAAAAAAAACAAAAAAAAAAACTTGCTCATTATCTCATTTTCTCATCTGTAATATTTGCACTTCATATTGCAGCTGGGGCTTGAACTTACAAAACACCAGGCTGTATCCTCTCACAGGCTCCATGAGGTTTCCAGCCACAATAAGGATCCCTTGATGCAATGCAGGACCTGAGGCCACACAAACACACACACACCATCAGAACGGCAGGTTTAATCATTCTGGAAAGTGCGGCATAATCATTTGTGACTGACTGAACATTAACCACAAGGCATAAAGAAACGCTGTTATCATTCCCTTTATGACATTTACACGAAAACAAAACAATAAAGTCACAAACCTATGACCGACTGCACATTTGAACCCCTCATCGTGCACGTTAGCACGTAACTTACTTGTGGCAGGAAGAATGCCTTTCACAGCGACTCAGGGGAATACGGATGACACAGCTTGAAAAGGCGACGTACAGGCTGTGTGTGTCTTTGTCCACGTGCAGCGAGAGGACACGCTTGTCATCCTCGCGGTTAGACAGGCACCTGGAAAGGGAAAAGAGAAACATGATCAGAGGTTTATCAGATAAGTCTGTCTACCGTGTCAGTCTCAGCAGATTTAATCACTTGTTAGGTGGAAAAGTCACATAAAGCTTTTTTTCCCCCTCAGTTTAACAGGATTTTAACCTCACACACACGACAGCGTGTGTTGACATGCATGAATAAGCACAAAAAAACCCCAAAACAATCACATGTGCTGCATTTGCAAAGAAGGCAAACAGACACTGTCATCTTTGCTAGAAAGGTTCACTTTAAGAGTTGCTGACTCCGCAGCCAGGAGACAGACAGGGAAGAGAAAAGGAGAACCGAGGCAGACGGAGAGAGAGGGTGAAGAGTGCGAGTATCCATACTTGGCCCTGTTGAAGACGTCTATCTCCTCCAGGAGCAGGCTGTCATTCAGGGACACAGAGGTGGTCTTTGCCAAAACCTTGAGGACAACACCCGATTCAGCCCCGATGAACACCACCGTGTAGTTCTTGTGGGGTCCTGCCTCATTGTCCACAGCCAGCGCTGTCAGCCTGTACCTTCAAACACAGCAGAGAGGCCTGTGTTACTCACAGTAGGGGTTATTCAGAATAGGAGTGGGTATCTGAATACATGAATCACTGCGGCTCTTGAGTTACTAAAGGTCAAACTTTTTTTTTACTTCATCGTTTGCATTTTGTTTCAACATCCTGACGTAGCTTAGTCAGGAGACATGCTTCAATATTTCTATCTTTATGTTTGATGCCAGTAAATCATTATATACTGTATGGTTAACTGTTAACTGAGCCATAAAACTTTATGAGGATTGAACTGAAGGTTTCTGTAACACTGATTGAGAGTCTACATCAACAGTGTGGTCAGAGTCTTGTTTACTTATTCTTCCATTTTACACTATATTATTTTGGCAAGGTTCTTGCAGAGCTGCTTAATTTGGCTTATATGGTTAAATGAAAAAAGGACTTTGTAGAAAGACATGTTTCCACAAATCGAGGCAATCAGAAAAACATCAGTTTCAAAACTCAGGTACCGCACTGGCGCCGACAAAGACACCCGTTCCTCATATACTCCTCCATTTACCTGACACGCGTCTTGGTGAACCAAGGCTCATCCCCGATGGAAGGCACAGCTGTGTCCATGAGGGGGTGGGACTTGATGAACTGCAGGGTATCATCCGGGAACTCGATTGAGCTCTTAAAGGACGCAGCTGGACCATGACCTGCGCAGCAACCGGGTCTAGGATGGAGGGTGCACGCACACAGAGGGCAAAAGGTCAAAGATCAGCCTATATGATCACTCACCAGAGAGCAATAACAATGTGTATTGAAATGGATGGAAAGTGCAACAAGGGGGGGCGAAGGAGAGGAGCAGGTGCTTATTAAGATCACAAAAAGGCCTCAGCTGGAAACATAAAATATACATATGCATGGTTATCCTCCATCAATGATTCACCGGGGTAATGAAGTGCTTCATGGACTTTGTGTTTGGGACACAGGACAGGGCCACAAATATACGTGCTGACTGTAAACAGGTTAAATATGCAACGCGTCTAATTATGCCAAATTAATTATTTAATCATCAGCAGATGGTGAATGTGTGTGCTGGGTCAAAGCTAATAACCTGGTGCCTTACTAGTGAAAAAGATTTGATTTCATCGGGTTTAACCTGGACAAAGATGGGTTAAAAAAAAAAAAAAAAAGTGGGGAAATGACAGGTGGTTAACAGCTGCTGAGTCAAGTGCCACCTGCTCAAAATAATCTAAAGAGGGCCATGTTTAAAAATCTGATTTGAAAGGTTTTCTAGTTAGGTGTTTTTTCTCCTCCTGCCTCTGCATTCTTTAGAAGGTTTCAAAGTGGAACATTTTTTGAGGATTTTTTTTTTTTTTTTGAGGAACAGAAATGTTAAATCCTTACCGAGGTTTGGGCAGCTTCTCCTCTGGATATGGAGTCCACACAGAGTCAGGAGTTTTCTGCTCTTTGAACCGGCCCCAGAATACTTTCTCTATGTCGGCCATGGAGAAGGCACACACTGCTGACCCCGGGATGCTGTGGAGAAGCACACCCATGTAATGTCCACGTTTGACTTCTTAATCATTAATTCTGTCCTCCGCATCGGTTAATTCGACAACTAACAGCGGCCGGCAGCCTCACCTGTTCATCTGCGTGGTAAAAACGCCCACCACCGAGGGAACACCGTTAATGTTGATGATGTCAGTGATGGACTGAAGCACGTCGAAGTAGAAGAAGGACTCCCCTGGCACGGAGCAGTTGAGCCTCGCCTTCACAAAAGATGTCCAGTGCTTCTCCAGCACTCGCTGTGACCCGCCAACGTCATTCTTACAGATCCGGGCCACGCGAGAATACACAACCTGCGAGGAGCAGGGGTTTAAGAGAGGACAGAGGCGGGTGGAAGAGGAAGGCAGCTGAGTGAACGTCACTAAAAACACTTCAGCATGCTGAATAATGCATCTCTCCATCCTGTAGCAACTCGGCACAGACGACTTAACTAACACACTCTTCATCTTTAACTTTGTGTGTGGAGATTGTTCCCCCTGACTGGAGCAAACGTTCATCCAATGTCCTCGACTGGCCTAATGCAGCCCCATGTGACTGTGTGTTTGATTGCACATATTACCAAGGCTTAGCGTATAAATGAAGTGTGTGAAGCAGTTGGCTTAGACAGTTTTAATAATTTACCAATGCAAACCTCCATCAGAGGCCAGGTGTCACCCCAGCATTAGTAGGGTTGAAATATTTATTAGCTGGTGGCTGATGGAGGATGCTGGCTTCCTGCAGTCCGGCCAGACTGGCTCAGAGATGAGGCATGGTCAAATCTGAAGTTGGCTTGAAACACAGAACATCCTAATGCCCTCAGCATGTGTGAGTGTGAGTATGAGTGTGTGTGTGTGTGTGTGTGTGTTGTGTGTGTGTCGCAGGGAGAGACAGACACATAGCGCGCAGTCTCGGGGAGACAAATCCTCTCACTGTGTAATGGTTTTACATTAGCAGAACATTCCCAGCAAACACTCGCGCTGTAGAAATTTCTCGTGTATTCTAATGCGATGTACTGTCATCGCCTGAATGGGCCCCATTACTACTGGGGCCATTTGTGGCAGAAATGCATGCACCGAGGGAAGTGTAAGCCTTTTTTTTTTTTTTTTTTTTTTTTTTTGGATAAAGGCCTGCATCCTGTATCTGTGTGGAATATGTAATGCATTATAAACGGCAAGTGCCTTTCTGTCTTACCTTGCCCAGATTGCTGTGCTCCACTGCAATCTCTCGGTAGAAAAAGTACACATAATTCCCATACTCTGCTGCATGCAGGAAATGAGGTTCTGAGGGAGAGACAGAGGCAGAGAGTTGAAGTGTATTTCTGCATCGTCACCACCACTGTGCATGTTGAATATTTCAGGGATTTGTACAAGGCTGTATATGACTGGGGGTGACCTAGATTGCCTGGGAGAGAACAGGCCATATCCCCACAGAGCTTGGCAAGGTGGGAGAGCTCTGCATCGCTCCAAAAACAGCTCTGACAGCCACGTACATACGTGCACCATGCGAAGGCACCACAGGCTTTTAGCTAGGTGGCAGGTAGACACATGTACATAGAGGGAAGTAAGGTGAGAGTGGAATAAAGATTGAGAGTGATGGGAGTGAGTGATTACCTTTCAGCCACTTGGAGTCATATTTGATAGTCCTCAGGGCCGATCCATCACCCATGCTGCGATAGATGACAGAATCACTGGCCTGGAAGTCAGCTACAGTGGCAGAATACAGCTTCCCTTCTAAAAACATGACAACAAGGAGCACAGTCACCAAAAACTAGGATCCACTGCTCCTCAGCGCTTTGTTGTTTCACTTCTTTTATCATGCTTAATTGGCTGAGTTGTTATCGCTGCAGGCGCAGTTTTATTGTGGCAAAGACACAGAGGTGATAATGAGAGCATAAGTAGGAACACATTAGTTCTTCTTCAGCAAGACTACGTGCGCGGGCGGGGAGTGTGTGTTTGACCCTTACCAGCGAAAAGGGCAACGTTGGTTTGCTTGGAGTCGAATGGGCACCGTGCCAGACCATTGATCTCCTCTCCATCTAACTCTAGGTTATCCAGCTAAAGGGAACACAACAAATCAACCCACACATTACTGGAGGTTTGTCAAGGGACACCGTGAAGACAAACACACACACAGAAGCACTGGCACACACAAATGAATCAATGAAATGAGTCCAGTCAAATTTATTTAAAAAGAAATTGAAATAAGGGGTGTGTTACTCAAATTACTTGAAGGACATTCACACAAATTTTGTCCAGATTGTGTGTGTGTGTGTGTGTGTGTGTGTGTCTTTGTGCACATCTGAGCATGCAAACTTTGACTTATCAAAGTGGCTCGGGCACTGGATACTGACCCTGTAGTATCTGCACATGGGGTTGAAGCCGTTGGTACCACAGATGAAAACCAGATCGTCGTTTCTGGGGACCAGCACTTTGATGAAGTTGTGGCACTCGTCCTGAAAACAGACACACAACACGGGACAGTGTTTTTGAGAGGCAGCCAGCTTCTCTGCTCACGGTCTCTGTCCGTTCCGTGTGATGGAACATAAAACAAAAAGGTGTGAGGTGAAGGTTCTTTTTTTTTTTTTTAATACATACTCTATGTTTTCCCTTGACGGCACACATCTCTCTGTCAGCTTGGCCCGATCGCCATGTTAGCTTCTGTAAAAACCAACGTGGAGCATTAGACACACGCATGGCACGACACACACACACACACACACACACACACACACACACACACACACACACACACACACACACACACACACACACACAGTCCTCCCTTTTCCACTCTCTCATTTTACAACCTGTCCAGTCTGTGATGAATGGCTCTGTGTTTTCTGTGGAGCCCTTTTAGTGTTTGTGGACTGAGAGAGCAGCTTGTGGCGAGAATCTTACCCGGTAAGGAATGATCTCATTCCTGTAGGACTCTCTCAGACTGACTAGGTACACCTGATCTCTGTGGACAGACAACAACAAAACACACAACTTAGTGACACAGCACAACCAGGGATCATTTTCAACTGTTTGTGTTTTGAAAATAAATATCTGACGATTTTCAGCTCATCCTCTATTTGGTTTATTCTTTATTTATCTTATTGTTTTCTTACATTCTTAGAGGAACTGGTGCATAATCAGCAGCTGATTTGCATTGTTTTCCTATTTTTGGTATTTATTTGCCATTTATGAGAATATTTTCTGCACTGTTCCTGTCATTTAGGGACCTTATTTACTGAGAACAATGGTTTCAGCTTCTTGCAGCAGGAAACACACACATTTTTTGGTTTGTGGTGACACAAAATCTAAGAGAAACTGGTTTAAACCGATCTTCTCTTTTTCAAAATATGTTTTTCTGTCAAAACCTAAGTCAAATTTAACTCATTCATATTTCTGTGTTATTTGTTGCAGTTAATGCACAGTGAAGTTTTTTATGCAACTGCCTCTAACATGGAAACCTGAATATCCTCTCTGTTACGTCATTTAACATGACAAATGCTTTTGATTATTGGTCCGTGGTAAAAAAAAAAAAAAAAAAAGCAATAAAAAAAAAAGTAATAGAACCAGTGGGAATGGGCTTTTATAAACCCACAGAGAAGAACATGTTGCTTCTTTCAGTAAACACATGTGACTCCCCCAGACTGGCAATAGGAGCATCCACCTGACAACAGTGATACATGTGGTGGTGATTACAGGGGCTCGAGAGCTGCAAGTTTTATATTGTAGATGTCAAGGTGATTTCCTGCTACAATATTAGTGCTGGCCGTCAGATTAATCCCGCTGCCCATAAATACAAAAAAGACATGTAAAGATGCCAAGAAATCCCTGACGGAGCGTCAGACCGGGATGATAGACGCCTTTCCTGGATCAATACTGGCCATATACATCAGATACAGGCCTAGAAGCCACAGATCCAATAACACTAAGAGCTTTTTACCCCTCACCCCCTCCCTTAGGCCTCTGTTTACCTGCCAAGGAGTGACTGAGTATATTGGTGTCGGGGATGTGTGAAAGAGAGAGAGAGAGAGAGAGAGAGAGAGAGATGGTGTGTGTGTATGTGTGTGTTGAGTTTACCTGCCAGCGATGAACAGTGTGTCCTGTATCTTGGTCATCAGCTGAAAGTCCAGGCGATGCTGTGACTCGTTGCCAGAGGGCCTGCCTCTGAACACTGGGTACCTCCGTGAAACTGCGAAGACATCGCACACACTATTAATGGGAAACTCATGGTAGACGCAGACACTCTTGCACGCCACACTCGCTTCTTCCTACACTTAACTCAACGTATACAAATCTTCCTGCAGTTATTAGTAGCGGCACTGTACAAACACTGGCGTAGACTGTGTATATCTGTGTGTCACTGTGTTGTGTTCCTGCGTCAGATAATGGCTGCCTATGTCAGCACATATCTCTGTTCCTCCAGTGCATCACTGAGATGGAAATGAAATCCACTTAATGCTACAGCTGACCATACAGCAGATTGATTTTATGACTATGGATATGGCATGCTACTGTGTGAACTGCTGACATGACTAGAAGTAGGAGGCTGCGGGTATTTGTCTTTATTCCATGTGTATTATGCCTAACAACACAGCGGCTTGTGTGTGTGTGTGTGTGTGTGTGTGTGTGTGTGGGTGTGGGGGGGGGGGGGGGGGAAAAAGTGCACATTAAGGATAGTTGCTGAGTTTTTCAGTGATGTTGCAGTTAATGTAAGATCTACCCCCGTGTCTGCTGAGTTTCATTCACGTGCGTGCACTCACAGTGTGCGTCAACGACGTCCAGGGGTACGATGTCCTCTGGGAAGCTGACTGCGAGGAGAGTGCGTGAGGCTGTCAGCAGCAGCAGCAGCAGCTCACTGAGCAGAAGCGCAGCTCTCTGGCCCATGGCTGCTCACAGACGACACTTCCTGTTTCACACTGGTGGAGTTGTTACCTGCAAGCACACAAAGAAATACATGCTTTTGTTGCTTAACGTGTCATACATTGTGTGTTATATTTCACCTACTGCTACAAACTGTAGTCGCATGAGCCAAATCCAAACCCTTTGTTTAACTCACAGCAATGAATAAAATGTGATTTCCGCTGTGAAGTTTTACTTTTCTTGCTGCTACACGCTAAGTTAATGAAATACAAACATAATGCTCATATAACGCCCTCTCTGGCTTATTGATGACTGAGCTTTCACTGGCGGTGCTTGGCGTCTCCCCTCTGCCTCTCCCTGCATCTGCTGTCTAAGGGAAGGTCAGCCAACTGACCGGTGGGGTGTCTCGGTGTGTGTTGGATGCAGCGGAAGTCCACCCTGTTAGAAGCGTGGCAGGCCTGCTGTCTCTGTACATCTGTGCTTCAATTGGTTTGTCCTGGGCCAGGCTCAACACTAATCAGCACATTGCAACTTCATCACCATCACTAGTGTAGCCTCTGCTCTGACCTTAGCTGACTTCTATTAGCGCTCTGTTGGCTGTTATTGCTCCAGCCTCTCCTTGGGGCTGGTGTGCATTGTTGCAGTGATTCACTCATCTTTGTGTTCGGAGGACCCAGTCGCGCACAGTTGTTTTGACGTTGTAGTAATTTTTGTGGATAATAGTTTGTGCAGCATCTGATCGTAGACATGATACACCAGCGACTACACTGGTAATAATTTATTGTGGGAGTGGCAGGGGTTTAGTGTGTATGTTAGTGTGTGGAGGAGTGCTTTAGAGACAGACTGTGTCTGTGCATATTAATGATCGGTGTACGTTCAAATATTTATAAGGCAAACAAATTATTCATGCAGGCAAAGCCTGAACGGATATAAACAATTTACCGGGAGACGTCACACAGGCAGAGGGATGGATTAGCTGGGAGCGCACTGGGATACACAAACACACATACACATGGCTGCACATACATAATCACTCTTTCAAATGGTGTAATGCAAAGACTGACTCATGTGTGCACGCACGAACACACACATAGTATTGACTCATTTTTCAATTAGCCCCAAAGCACACCTGCTCCAGTGCTGTCTGTGAGCCCTGCCTGCCAAGCCATTAGTGCCTTGATTGATCCACACAGGAAGCATGGCAGATCAGTAGCCAGCGAAGCTGGACTTTATCATATCAATGTAGCCATGTGAGAAATTTGTGGCTCTAAATCTGGTTACTTTCATCTGGATATTTCTTAAGAACGTCTGACTTTTGAAGTATTTCCAAAGTCTTTAGTTAAAGCCACTAAATGAACCATAACACACGTGGCTGTCAAGTAGAAAATTTGGAGTTGTGAAGTGTTTACCTGACAGCAACAGTATGTGTCAGCGTGTCAGCGAGTGTATGTGGATTACATAACATGTGAACTGGCCACACAGCATTTATACCTACTTGTTGATATAAAGTGTGTAGTGTTTTACCAGGTACTAACAACAAAACAGTTACTGTATGATGATGTGTCACTAAAAAGAATGGGAGTGGCTGTGGGGTGAAATCAGGGTGATGCCCCCGTGTTTTAGTCATCAACTGTGTGTAATCATTGCTACTGAGTTTTCTGTGGGATATTGAGGCCTTGGATAGCGCAGCGTCATTATGACTAAGTAATGGAAGGCCTGAACGAGACAGCGCTTCATCTCAATTAGTCAACGTAATAGTTAAATTACAGGTTTGATGTTTTGACAAAGTAAAAGCATGGTATGAGGGCCAAAAGATCTCTTTCTCTTTCAATAGCCCCAAACATCAATGATGCTGGAGCAGCTACTACACTCTAATCTAGATACAAATGAATCTCTGGACACAAACAATTTACAGATCTATGCACACAGGCTCCCGGATCTATACAGAAAAACAACTGTCAGCAGCTTAATCTAAACGAGAAGTGATGATACTGCTGTGCAAAACGAGACAGTGGTGTTCCTTAAAAGCATCGCAGCTATTTTTTTTACTACCTGGTTCAGATGCTCTCGCACCAAGGAATGTGCTGTTAAAACCCCAGCAATAAATTGCTGAGTTTCAAGGAGAAGCCTGGGACAGGAATAGATACCTAACGCTCAACAATAGAAAAAAAAAAAAAGAAAAAAGAAAAAAAGAGGAGCTATGAAAGGTAAATAACCCAGCTCCGCATTTCAATTCTATAGTGCTATCATAGAGGCTGCAGGCTGTGCTTCCAGCCTAAACATGGCGATGTTCACAAGTAAATCGGTTCCTTGGTTGTCAGGACTTTAGCGTCCTGCTCTGTATCGCCTCTTCATAAGCGCACACATTCGCACCACTTTTTTCCTGCCATTCTCCTGCACTAAACAATTCAGGGGAAAAACACTCCAACCAGAGGCAGAAGCTCAGCTCTGATCTCCCATGATTCCTTGCATGGGTAATAGCCATACTGTGGAGGCGAAGGCTTTCCTCAGAAACTTTAATGTAAAACAGAAAGAGAAGACATTCAGAGGTCAGCGATCTAAAATTACTTCTCAATCTCTAGTGAGCCCAGCATGTTTTCTATTGACTATTCCTTAGCGCTCTCTAGTTCCTGCCCTCCAGTGTGTGTGCATGTGCGTGTGTGTGTGTGTGTGTGGGGGTGTGTGGACGTGCGTGCATGCACATATAGGCCTCAACAAGCCTAAAAAACGCTGGGCTTGTCACGCAACTCAGTGCCATTCAGCCTTGCCTCACTCTACCTCTGTTATTACAGGCTTTTCAATGTCCTACAACCACGCACTTTCCCTGCTGATGTTGTTGGCTCAGGCCCATGGTGTTAAACACGGGGAGGGGAGAGAGGGGAGGGGGTCTGGTAGAATACTATTTCTACTGATGGCGGGTGCAGGGGTCTGTAGCCCAATTCTAGTAGTTACAGCTGAAGATTTAGTGTTGTAAGCTTAAAATGACAGATTAACACATATTTCCCTCTTAGCTGTGCTTTCACAGGCATATGTCAGCCATAACCTCCCCTCCGCTGCAACACAGAATGGATCTGTTTGTGTCCTATTTGCAGGAATTGGGGCTAATAAAAAAGGATGGCAAACAACAGCGGTGCGTGAGGTTTTGTAAATTGTGTGTGAATGTGATGGGTGGCTCTAATCCCGGGAGAACAATGACTGCTGCTGCTTGAGGCTGCTCGACTTGTCATCTCGCACCACGCTGAGCTGTAAACCCAACAACAGCAGAGGAAATCAGATAGCCCCGGAGTTCAGTTTCAGGCATTTCACTCTTCAACACTTGGTGTGCGTACGTCTAAATTCATGCGCACGCATGTGTGACTGTCCGTCCAAACCTGGACATGTCCTGTAACTAGGTTGTCTCAACTCTCAACTGTGGCTCTCTGAGAAAGTAATCAAGATGCAGCCACACAGGACAGTGAGTCAGCCAGATGATTAGAGCAGCCACCACATGGGCCCAGAAATGATTACCACTCCTTTTCCCACTTCAGTAATAACCACTACCCTGAAGGATCATTTGAGAGGGGCTTGGTTGGACTTGTTGCTTCAGAGATTTGGCAGAAGGAGAGGACTGTGCCACCCTAAACCCAGCTTTCCTCCCTTTCTTCTCTACCTTGGCGAGAGGAGGAGTGAAACAGGAGAAAGGCTGCTCTCAGCAGTAGTTCTGCTATAGTAGAGCACAAAGGGGCAAAGCTGCAGGTGTGACCAAGAAACAAAAGGGGCTTTGGGCAAGTCAACACAATAGAGCCCCACCCCCGGTCAGTGGACCTATGTTCAGGAGAGCTGTTCTGGGGCTCCTGAAGGGGGCTTCTGAGGAAACACAGCAAGCTTGACTCCAAATGCTCCACACAGGGTCAAACATTTATCGCTCAACCAACTGAGAATTGAACAACGTGATTGCCGTGCTGCAGTTTAGGGAAACCATAAGGCTGTGAAGAGTTAACACTGTATGGTTTAATGGCGGTTGTTCCGGGGTTACTGCTGGCTGTTGGGAGGTTAACGGTGGTCGTTCTGGTCGCTGAGTTCTGACCCCATGGCCAGTGAAGCGAAGTGAGACGCGCCAGCCAGCTGTGCTGTCAACGAACCCAGAGCCGGTTCGAATGTTTTGACCTGGATGGAGTGTGCTGCTCCTGCCAATATCAAGTTTGTAGTTTCAGTAACTAAGCCGGGCTTCTCCTGTCTGTGTCACAGGGCTCTGACACTCCACATCTGGTGTGTATGTTTAGAAACAAACTTGCTGTCTTTCTTTCTGTAAAGGGGCTGTTCTGACTTGAGAAAAATAATACAAGTAAATTTTTGACCACAGACAAGCTAAAATTTAATGTGTGCCCTTAAACCTTGCATTTAAAAAATTAATTTAACAGATCATGTTATTCTGTATTGGCAACTATAGAAGAAGCTTATTTGGTTCATCTCTTTTTGCTCATTTACTTAAATAATGAGATCCCACAGAACAAATCCTAAAACGACTCAAACACTCGCACCTACACCCCTCCTTATGAAACACATGAACCATCCTGTTTCTCTCTCTTTCTTCATCATTCTTCTGTTTGTTTTCCTTCATTCGCTGGTCATTTTTCAAGTTTTTTTTTTTTTTTTTGCGTGGAGATCTTCCGCTCCTCTTTTGCGCACACAATCCACGCAGCAGCCCGGGCTCTAACGCTTTGCATTGTGCGGGCTGGGGCGTAAAGGCATTCAAGTTTTATCCGTGGTAAATCTTTTCAGACCCCTTTAGTCCACATGTAGCACCGATACAAAAGACAACAAAGACGCGGGGGACAGCGGTGGAGTGACAACAGTGATGGGGCTGCGTTTAACTGCCTCCACAGCACTTAATTCATTCACAGGGCTGGGCTTCCGCGCTGCTCTGCCTCCGAAAAGGTTACGAGCGCATCTCCAATTTATTATTCAATATAAGAACGCCATAAGGAAATTGGGGAATACATTAAATAGATTAAAAAACACCCGGGAATAAGTCGTCAACAAGCTTTAAGTCAAACTGCACGTCCCTTTATTGTTTAATACTGTGTTTGCCAGCATGGTCCGTCCGATCATGTGCAGGTTGTCTTTATTCCAAGTTGATTTTTGTGGAGCCGAAATGTCAGAAAACACTTTATTTCACGACTTGAACCATTTAAAACCACCGGGAACACAAGACAATAGAGATGATGAGCTAAGGTAAATGAAACTGAAGCAAAAAAAAGGCACACTTCTCTGCATGAAAGGTGTGTTACAGGACTACAATGGCGTGGCTCTGATTTTATTGTCGGTCAGTCATGATCTATGTTGACATCTCTGTTTTTAAAAATTGATACATTTTACTTTGGGATCTAAGTACTTGATTCTCTTGTATAGATTCTGTTCACAAAGTAGCTCTCGGGATAGAATAAAGGCCAGTGATGTTATGTCCTTTATTCAATCCAACATCCGTTGTATTAATACAACTCAGGGAGTGTACCCTGAAAATACTCCACATCGATAATTACAGATCATTGAGGACACCTACCTTGAGTATCCGAATTCACTCATGAATTGGGCAATCCGACTGCATGTCATATTCCTTTTGTAATCCATTTAAGAGAAAACACCCAGCATGTGATATTCCTGTTATTTCATGCTCCATCCGGACCCCACTTTTCTCTTTTTTTTTTATCCAGTTGCGCACAGATTTCAGCTCCGCTCGCCACATAAGAGCATTTGGATTCTGCCTGCTCTCCTGTCTCCGTCCCCGGGCCCCTGCGCTCTGATGACTGATCTTCAAAGCTTCTGCCACGACCACACAGCCCCCTCCCTCATACACCAATACACCATCCCCTTCCACTACTATTAACTTTGGAAACCAAAGGGAAAATGCATAAACATTAACGACGCGCTATCCGTACTACGCCGCGCTCTGACTTCATGTGCAATCATTGATTTAATGGTGATTTAAAAATAATAGAGGGCGTGTTAACTGACGGAGAGCATGATAAAGCACATACGCACCGGAATAAAAAAAATAATACTAGATTTACGCAAAACTCTTCCCAGTGCTTGTTTATCCCAACAGATAACTTTGGTTTAGTCACTGTGATAAATGCTCTAATGATGAGACTGTAGAACTTATAGGCTATAATAAAGATTTCTGACAGCTTCAATAGGACGATTAACTGCCTCGCAGATAAAGATATGAGTAGACAATTTAGTTTATTCTCCCTTACGCCGCTTTATTAGCTGCGGAGAGGCGCTTCCGAGCTGCACGGATACACGTTGGAATGAATGAATACTATATTGCACTGAAGCATGAGTAAAAATAGTCCGGACCTGAACTATTCCTGCCCTGCGACCATTAGTTTTGCAGAGCAGCATAGCGACGTAGTCACAAGAAATATTTTTGTTTCCCCAGAAAAAGACTTCTCCTGTCTAGTTTCCCCTTCGACTTTCACTGCGTAATGCGGCACAATAAAGTAAATCCACGTTGCTGCAAGGAACTCACCTCATCTGAATTGGTTATTTTGTATCCTTTTTTGTTGCCGTAATCCAAAACAAAAAAAAATATATTGTCCGCGTCGTAGTGAATCAACTTCTCCTGGCTGAGAGAAAAACAAACTAATGCACGGCAAATGGTGTAATTCGACCCGTGCGAAGTCAATCCATCCAGAGAGAGATCTACAGCCTACCAATAAGCAGCGCTCTTGCTCCAGTCCCTCCCCCCACCGTCCATCTCTCCTCAGTTGGTTCGGGCTACTCAGCCTTGCTCTGGCTTCCTTCCTTTCTTTCCTAGAGCCCGGAGAGAAAGAAAAAGCGACCCCCTCCTCCCTCTCAGTTCTCCTCCTGTGTGACCCCGTGTTGCCTGCCCTTCTGTTAAACCCCATCCCCCAACTCCAAGTCAGCAAGAGCGCCTAGTTAAAATCATTTCAGCTGAGTTGTGGCAAGCCACTGCGAAGTAAAACACAGCTTTAGAAATGTTTGGATTGGAAAAGGGAGACGGTTTAAGCACAAATCTCCTTCTATCCCAGAACAGTATCATGCCTATAAAAGTGAACTCATTACTGACAACAACTGAAAGTTTTACAGAAAAAATATACTTATTTCAAATATTTAGTTTACCAATCACATATTCTTAATAATTTAGATATTCTACAAAACTCTTTTATTAATTTTAATACAAAATACATAATGTTTTCTGCTAAGCAAATCATTTTTATTGCTACAAACATCACTGTGTACCAGAGACACACTCTAAATCTCCTTAGGAATGTTAAATTGCCCTCTCCCGGTGTTTTGTTTGGTAGATCTATAGGCATTAGGCATTCTGCATGTGTATGTAAACATCAGTGTGAGTACATGCTCTCTTATGCATGTGAAGCTGAAGTCGTCATTGAACGTGTCGGGTCATTCCAGGCGGGTCTGCAAGGCTGGACAATAGAGGCCCATTTGCACCCCATCAGAGAAGCAGGTTAGCAGATGTGTGAGAATCTCTTCCACATGAACATCCTCACCCACTCGCGCACACACACACACACACACACACACACACACACACACACACACACACACACATAACCTCCTGACAGCCCCCATTATGAGCTGTGAAAGTGGGATCTGCATCTCAATACTTGCACAGGAAACGCGAGTTTGCACTGCTGATCTGCCTGATCCCGGTTTGGCACTTCTTGCATGTCTTTGTCCCTGCTTGTCCCTCACTTGTCCTGCTCTCTTCCTCTGTTTTTTTTTTTTTTTTGAGGAGTTACTACTTCTTGATATTCTGTCTCTTCATTTGACAGAATTTTCCATTTTTCCTTGGGCCCCCTGTAGCTCTCCATTTTCATCTCAGCTCATAGACTTTGGTCTGTCGTTTATGTGACCTTCGTTCTCTTTCTTCTCGTCTCTTGAGCTTCAGTCTTGCCACTCAGTGTTTCTGTCAGTCCCAGGTTACATCTGTGTGATGCCCTAGTATCCTGTGGGGACTGAATCAGCACGAGCATCTATTATTGTGGAAGAGGGGGAAGATGGATAGATCAATGTGTCGAAGATTTTTGCGGAGACGCAGCTACTGAGTGTCAGGATGGGTCAATAGATATATGGATCTGTGGGCGTCTGGTGATTGGTAGAGGTATTGATTGGCCCTTTATCCAGTGAAATGACCGTTTTATTGGGAGCGTAATGGCAATGTGACACCATTACATTAGATTTTAATGGTTTTTGGTACAGGACTGTTGACTTTAACAATTTTTAATCTGCTTGTAACGTATTTCTTTGCAACTTAAAATGAATTGTCACCGATGCATGGAGACTAATAAAAAGATAATTCATAACTCTCTGTACGATTTTACATCTTACGTCTTCCTACACTTATGTCAACCCATATATCCCATAAATAAACCATTTTGTGATGGAGTGAGTATTTAAAGAAGATTTTAAAAACGTTTTCGATTGTCATAAACAAAAAAAAACCTAAGCTCTTTTTTTCTTTTAATTAAATAAAAAAGCAAAAAAGCAACTACCCAAACAAATCACATATTTGAGTCATGGGAGAACAGATGATTAAATGGAGACACATTTACAAACATAGCAGAGAAGCAGATGGGTGAATGACAAAGGTCTTTGAGTCTGTGAGTATGTTTGGATGGATAGTGAGAATGGGCAGATGAATGTATTGATGCAGGGAGATGGAGAGATGGATGACGGAAGAGTAGACTGATATACATGGAGGGTGGGGGCAGACAGAGCACAGAAGGCTTCTGCTACCACTAAAGCCTGATATGCTCCCTTGGGGGCCCTGCGGTGTGTAGGTCAACCCCAGGGGGCGTGTGAGGGTGGGCTTCGGGGTGCAGAGGAGAATGTGAGGGCTTGGCCTTAGGTTGGGCCTACCAGAGAGTGCACTACCCTACACTCCCTTATTTACTGCCTGAAATGCCGGTACAGATGGCCATGTGTCGAGGATGGGGGCTGCAGGCTTAAGGCTGGGGCTGAAGCCAGAGATGGAGGGAACCATAGGGTCGGATGTTTTATTACAACATCACCATTTCCCACCAGCTAATCACAGGACTTGAGAATATGAAATCCCGACAGAGCAAGTTGAGGGGTCACATCTCGGATAACACGGTACAAAATTAAAAGTTGTCAGGTTGATTTTAAACATGTCAAAGACGTAACGAACAAGCAAAAGTGTGGTTTTCGGAACCTATGAGATGACAGTAACAGAAGCAGTAGTGTGCTAACTAGGGGAAAAGGTTGTGGGCTTTTGGCAGCGAGTGTTCTGTCAGATGGCTGCCTCTCAGGGTGGAGGCAGTCAGGACTGAGCCTCCTTGGTGACCTCTGATTGATTAAGAGGCCATTTCTGGCACTCGACTGGCCTGGGGCACCATTTGTCACCTGACTGTGCAGTCCTGTTGAGAAGCTTTGTGTCTTCCAATCTACATGCAGACCTTTTCTCTAAATCTGCAACTCAGCTGGAACCATCAGGGCCACCCATGTCAAAAAATCTGTTCACTCACTCTGGTGTTCAGCCTTTTGGATTAGAGTAAACACCAAATGGCAAGCTAAAACATTACAAAATATACTACACACGAAACACTTTTGTCAAGAAATCAACATTAGTCAGATTAATGTAATTATTTATAGTAAGTGATTCTGTTCATTACTTACTTCCTGTTATGATTTGTAGTACAGGAATAAGCACAGGAGTGCTGAGGTTACAGGATTACTTGTTGCTGTGAGTTTTGACAACTGGACCCATGAAAGTGCTGCATTGAATGGAAAGTCACATCAAGTGGGTATAAGTGCTAACATTAGGAAGCTAGGCTAAGTAGCCTTCACTGTCCGAGTGTGAGCTAGCTTAAAAGCACAACGTGTCCTCCAAAATGGACAGACGTCCTAAATTACTAATGGTGCATAATCAATGCTACATATTTGGGCTTGTTGAAAAAAGGGGAACAAACTTGTATCAATATTTACAGGATTTACAGGACTGTGATGTGCTTTAGTCAATAGTGCACCACAGAAGTTGACAGCACATTGCTAGCAATGCTGACCCTCAAAAGGTCAGTCAGCTGCTGCTGTGGGAAAATAAACCAGGAATGAGGCTCTGACTCTGTTTCCACGAATATGTCAAAGAACTGTTTATAGAACACTACGGCATTGTTATTATTATTATTATTATTATTATTATTATTATTGTTTATATCCTAACAGTAAAAGTGAGCACAATCCAAATTAAAGTTTGACTTTAAGTAAAGAACAGTTCATAGCTGTTTGGATCCAAATGTCAAAGTTATATTAATAGTGCTTTAGGTTTAGATTTGATAATTATGCCTTCCAGTCTACATCATTACTTGCTTTTATACAAAATGCATCTTAACCAAAGGTCAGAGAAAGGTGACAAGTTTTATAGCCAGCAGTTTGATGCACTGACTAGAGGTAGGACTGAAACATATATCTGTAATTTGCAGTGAAATGACTTGCGCTCTGTTTGCACATATTGCTTCTTCACCTTCCTTTTTTTATGAGATTATTGTGTAGATGAGGGAAGCAAATCTATTTTGTCATAAGTTGTTTTCGGCTCTAAACTTAAGGAAATTACAGTATCAAGTTCGCTTTGATGTGATCCTGATGACTGCCACATTTACTCAAGGAAATGCACAGAAAGGTATGAAATAAATTCTTATATAATGTAATTGTGTTTATTAGAGATTTCTTGGGGAAAATGAGAATGGTAATCATATTCATAGCCAGTGCTGTGGGT